AACACACCGGGAAGGGACGTCCGAGCGAGAGGGAGTGCAGGATGATGCCGCACAGTGCGGTAGGCGCATCCAGCACGAAGCCGGCCTGCCTGCAGGTTCCCCAGTGGATTTTTGTCGTGTCCCGATGGTTCGTTCCTGCATAGGCCCTTGAGCTCCCTGGGGGGCACGAAGACCGACGTCGGATGTGCCCATGCATATTCCCCTGAACGCGCCCCCGAGGGGGCAGACACCGCCGACCCACCGTTTTTTTGGAGCGCTGAGGTGGACGAGGAGATCGCCGCGTGGCGGTCTGTTTGGGGTCTCGTTGGGTGTCCTGGGGGCCTCCAGGGGGCCTCCAGGGGGGTCTCTCGAGGGGCCCGCTGGCAGCCCTCGGGGGAGGGAATTCACGTGGCAGCTTGGGGTTCCCCTCTTGGGGTGCTGGAGCGCTAGGGGCCCCTTCTCTGGGCCCCTCCTCCTCCTCCTACTCCTCCTCTTCTTCCTCCTCCTCCCCCTCCACCTCCTCTTCCTCCTCCTCCACCTCCTCCTCCTCCTCTTCCTCCTCCCCTCCCCCTCCACCTCCCTTCCTCCTCCTGCGATCGCGGCCGCACGCATCGCAGCACTGCATCGTCTACAGGCCTAGAGTTCAAGTGCACGCACCTGCTCGCCGAGCTTCGTGCCCTCCTGATGGGGGCGCGGAGGGGTTGGCAGAGCGCCCCCCCTCCTGGGCCATCATCGTGATTCTGTTTTCGGGGACGCCGCCTCCTGTACAGGAGACGCTTTCTGTTCGAGTGGACCCTTGGACCGGCCGGGAGCTTTGTTGGGCCATCGTGGCGCCCTCTTGAGGGCCTCGTGGGCTGTCTTTGGACGCTCTTGGGGACTTCCTGGGCCGCCTTGCCCAGTCCGAAGCGCGAGGATGCGATGATAGCAACATCTTCGATCAATTCACTTGGCAATCTACGATTTTGTTTTTTTCGGGGCCTTTTGTGGAAGCTCTCTAGTGCCTGTCTTAGGCCGTCTGGAGGCATGTCAGGTCACAGATGGGCTCTAGATGCCCCCCCCCCAGGGGAGAGCGCCCTGAAGGGCTCCAGAGGGCCCCAAGAGGGCCGTAAGTGTGGCTCCAGCGGGCGCGAATAACCCCATGCCCACGAGAATAATGTACCCCCCCTTAAGTAGTTAGAGTTTTCTATCGTCGACCAATAAGAGTTTGGTCGGGGGCGCGGGGGCGCGGAGGCCGAACTTCATTATCACGGGAAAAGTTCGCCATTGAGGTTACTTCCTTCTTATGTTGAGATAACAACATCAAGCGAAGCGAACACGTTCTTTCAGGATGTCCCAAGCGAAACAAATGCCCTTCTGTCTCTTTGTAGTTATGTTTGTCTCTCTTTCTTTCTTTCTCTGTCTCTCTCTCTCTCTCTGTCTCTCTATCTCTTTCTCCTCCTCCTCCTCCCTCTGGCGCCCTGAACTTGTTTATCGCTGGGGTTGATTATCCTGGGAAAACGAGGCACGTGAGCTACCCTACACGAGCAGATGAAAATTCTAATTTTCATCAAGCGTTTACAAATTATATCTAATACGTTTTAAACTTTGGAGTTTTGCTATCTCCTTCTCCTCTCCTCCTCTTGCTCTTTCTCCTCCTCCTCCCTCAAGGATGTCTCAAGCGAAACCGATGTCCTTCTGTCTCTTTGTAGTTATTTCTGTCTCTCTTTCTTTCTCTGTCTCTCTCTCTCTCTCTCTATCACTTTCTCCTCCTCCTCCCCCTGGCGCCCTGAACTCGTTTATCGCTGGGGTTGATTATCCTGAGAAAGCGAGGCACGTGATCTACCCTACACGAGCAGATGAAAATTTCAATTTTCATCAAGCGTTTACATATTAAATATAATACGTTTTAAACTTTGGAGTTTTGCTATCTCCTTATCCTCTCCTCCTCTTGCTCTTTCTCTTCCTCCTCCCTCGAGGATGGCTCAAGCAAAATAAGCAATACTTTGAAGATGTCTCAAGCGAAACAGACACATATTTCGAGGATGTCTCAAGCGAAACCAGCAATTCGTTGAGGATGTCTCAACCGAGACAATCCTCAAGATATCTTTGGCTTTTTCCTCTTGATATCTCTTTATGCTGGCTCTGGCGGGCAACTTTCATTATCTCCCCGAAAACCCCGAACTTTACTGTCCTTGGGGGTTTATTCTCCGAGATTTAGGGTTATGCACCCAAAAGGAAATCAAAAGGCACCAGGTGGGTTCAAGATGACGCCCCCCTTGGACCTTCTTGGTGCCTTTTGTCGGGGGCCTCTTGGGATTGAGCACCATAGGGGGCTCAAAGACCAACGTCGAATGTGCCCATACATTCAACTAAACGTCCTCCAGAAGCCACCACCCCACCATCTCTGGATCGTTGAATTCGTGGGATGGGGGGGAGGGCCAAGACAGCGGCTCCCCCTGAGTTGAAACCATGACAGCTGCCTCTTTGAGCCCTCGCGGCTCTTTGGAGAAGGTAGTGGGGTCCTCTTCGGGCTTTGTAAGTGCGTGTCGAGGCCCTCTTGGGGCTCTCACGTGGGTCTCCTGATCCCTTCGTGGGAGCTCTAGGGGGCCTCTTGGGGCCATGCTGCACAGTACCTGTCGCATGAGTGGGGTGAGTGATAGAAACGGTAGGGGGAAAAAGCAGGTCGAGGTGGTCCTCAGCCCCTGGAGAGGAGGGAGGGAGCCCCCGCGCTCTCTGGGGGCGCTCCAGACGGCCGACAGAATGCGCCAGGAAGGCGCCCACACGGGCGAGGAGGGCCCCCAGAAGAGGCTGCGAGAACGGCCGCGGAGATCATCCGCACGACCCAAGATAGCCGCAGGAGTCCGCAGGTATGCAAGAGGAGCTCGAAGAGAGGCGCCAGGAGAGGCGCGAGAAGCCACGAGTCGGCAGAATCCTATGTCGCACTGTGCATTTTGCCTGTTGGGGTTGTCTGGACGATGCGTCGCGAACAATGGCGGAGAGGCATCGGGGACGGCCCGAGCTGGCCCGAAGGACCGTCAAGATCAGTCCAGAAAAGGGCCCCGAGGAACTGACCCAGTAGGCTCCCGGAGAGATCTCTGAGAGGGCAGGGTGGCGCCAGGAGCCCGGAGGGCTGGACCTAAACGGTGTTTTTGGTGATTTCGTGGGCCGTTTTCGTTTCGACTTCGTTTTGCGGTACCGGCGGATTCGAGACAAGAGCGAGGGAAAGCGAAAACAAAACGAAAACGAAAAACACCGTTACATGTGAAATAGGGGGCCACATGCGAACCCTACCCCTACCCCCCACGGTTTCTGAGGGGGAGGGTGGGGTTCACTTCGTTCGGGAGCTCCCGAGCGAAGTGAACCCCACCCCCCCATTCAGAAATTGTGGGGGGTAGGGGTAGGGTTCGCATGTGGCCCCCTAGTGAAAGTGGTAACCTTTTGGGGCGGAAGTGTTTGCCAGAGGGCGCCCCGGCCGCAGCGCGGGCCAGCCGGGCCAGCAGAATTGAGCGGGCCGCGGGAGGACCCTGGGAGGGGTGGTGAGGGCTCCGAGGCAGGTCAGGAGCGAAAGAAGGACGTGCATGTACATGAATCCACGCTGGTTTCGAGAGCACGCATTGCACAAATGTTCGTATAACGCGGCCGGTCTCGCGAATCGAGGGGCCGTGTGCATGTACATAGCTGGGCGCGTACGTCCTTTGTAGGCTCCCTAGCAGGGGTAGGAATGAAACGCTCGTTGATGACAGGAGTTACAGAAAACATCCCTTGCGGACCATGCGATGGCTCTGACACGCCGTACCGGTGGGGCAGCGAGTCGCTTCGCCCACTCCGCCGGCCCATACTGTACGCAGTTTTTAGTGACCGTCGGCCAGACTGGGTCGTGGACAAGAGGCCTTGATGGGAGGCTTGGTGGGTTTTTTGGGGACGCCTCTGGGCGTCCTCGTGGCGGCATTTTGGGGCCTCTTGGGGCCCCCTTGGGGGCCCGCTGGTGGTGTCGGGGCAACGGCCGGACGATCGGAGCTTTCGTCGGCGCCAACGTCGCACCGCCGCCGCCGTGGTGGTCCTCTGCGCCTTGCCGGTTGGGCGCGGCCGCCGCCTGCTGCGGCCTCGGCGCGGCGGCGGCCGCGGCGGGCCGCGGCTTCGGTGCGGCGGCGATCGTTCGTGCAAGAGAGGGGGAGAGTTCAGTCGGGCCTGTTCCTCTACAGGGGGCGTTTTTTTGACTATGTTTGCCCATTTGGGGGTATTTTCTGAGTATGTTTTATTTTTCCGCCCACACTCCCCCTGCAGGGGGGCACGCCCGACTTAAGGGAAGAGGGAAGAGGGCCTGAGGGATTCTAGAAAGCCGCCAAGCCGGGAAAGCCTCCCACAGGGGAAGACAGAACCGCATGAACGCATGAATGTTCGGAGGTCCGCCCAGATTTCTTGGATCGGCGCTGGGCCCCCCCCTGGCGGCGCTTCTGGCTCCGCCCTTGGCGCGCTCCGCGTGCCAGGGAGGGGGTTCCTGCGTTGATAATCAAGAGCTCCGCGCGGACCCCGGAGAAATTATGGAGAGAGCGCGCCCGTGGCGCACTCCGCAGGGGGGGAGGTCCCTCCTTAGCTACCCCCCCTTGGGCGTGCCCTGCCAGGAGCGCCTCCACATCCTTTCTTCTCGCCCCTCGGAAGTTACTCCCCCCCCTCCGTGTCGCGCTCCGGAAGCTCCCCCCCCTTCCTTTTTTCCAGAAGCCTTTTTTCTCCCCCCTCCTCTTATTGTCTTGCCACTCGGAAACCATTCCCCCCCCCCACCCCTCGCGCGCTCCTGAAGCTACACTCCCCCTTTCCTTTCCCAAAGGGGGGGGCTTAGCTACCCTCCTTTTGGACTTCTCCTGCCGCACGCCCCCCTCATTTTTCCCGCCCTTCAGAAGCTCCCCCTCCAGCCGTTCTGGCTCAGGTGATTCCTGAGCTTGGCGAGGCAAACTTCAGAACGGCCTGCCTCACCGGGCCAAAGTTTCTACGCGCTTTGCTTTCCAGATTTCACTGTCCCTCAGCAGCCAGCCGCATGACTGGGGATGGTTCCTTACTCCGAGGTGCTCGTCTACTACCTCTGTGGTCCTGCTCGCAGTGCTCCCGCACTGCGAATTGGGCTTGCCGTATCAAGTGTCTTTGCGGTGTTGCTGCTCCTGCGCGTGTGGTTCAGGCAGCCCGCAAAAGTGAGAAGGAGTGGGGACAGCGGCCAACCCCATCTACACCTTGGGCGCCGAAGGGAAGGTGGGCTGATGGCGGCCCGTCGACCCCCGACCTGGTCGCCACCATCACCGCGGCGCTCGAAAGGAAATTCGATTAGAAGTTCAAGTCGTTCAAGGACCCGAAGGCTGGACAGGCTGCTGGCCAGGCTCCTCCGCCTACTGCTGGCGACGCTGCTGCTGGTGATGATGAGCAGTCGCAGCGTGGAGCGCGAATCGACTCCCTTGAGAAGGCACTCCGACAGCTTGGCGACATCGCCGACGATGATCCAGCCAAGCAGTGCTTCGAGTCTCAACTTCGAGACGCTCGCAAGGCACAGAGAGATGCCAAACCAGTGTTGCAGCAGCACACCAATGTGGCCTTCCGCTTGCAGACTGCGCAGAAGAAGCAGTCCAAGGCTGGCGAGGCTGTCGCTGCCCAGCAGAAACTCATCGAGGAAACCCAACGTTCGCTCCATGAGCTTCAGGAGAAGGAGGAGGCCACCAAGCGAGAGGTGGCGGCCTTGCAGGAGGAGCTGCGTCGCACCATGCCGCCTGATGCAGCACGCCCACCTGCCGAGGTCAATTTCGAGCTGCCCCCAGAGGTCCTGGAGGCAGAGGGCAATGCTGACGTTAAGGAGCTCATGTCCAACCCCATCTTCGCCAAGTACCAGCAGCTGTTCAAGGCGTCGGTTCCTCCTGCTGCTTCGTCGGGTCCTGACGCTGGTGCAGCGGCAGGGGCAGCAGCAGGACAGCAAGGTGCTGCAGGTGGAGCTGCTGATGCACCAATGCCGCAGGCGCCAGAGTAGGAAGGTTTATCGTCAGAAGAGGTTGATGATCTGCTCGAGCACGTCGGCGACAAGCGGGAGTTCGAGCAGCAGCTGGAGGCCATGGGCATCAAGCGGGCGAGGACAGCGGCGTCTTCCTGACGCCCCCTTTCTTCGTGGCCTTCCTGTCGCTGCTTCAGGTCATGCCGTTCCTCAGCATAAGGGGCATCGACAGCAGGCTGAAGCTCCAGGACCACAATTCTTCGAAAGTTTCAATGGTAATTGCAGGGCCACACTACTTAAACGGTTGCGTAGTAGTGACACTCTGATTGTGTGTGCGCAGGAGATTGGCGCAGGTCCTGATGCTGTTCCAGATCTTCAGCGTGCTGCTCGTGCGATAGGCTATCGAATGCTACGCAGTCTTTCACGATGCTGCGCGCACGGTTCTCACTCAGCTGGGGTAGCCATTTTTGTTCAGCAGCATCTCGGGCCCAGGTGGAAACCCGCCGGCGGTGATCTGGTCAAAGGGCGTCTCATCTCAGCAGTTGTGGACATCCCAGCCTGGCCTCCACTGGTGGTATATTCAGCTTACTTTCATGATAGCGTCGGCCTCAATGAGGCCAACATGAATCTGCTCTCTGTGCTTGGTGGGTCGATTTCTCGCTCGACCGGTTCCTTCTTGGCAGGTGCTGACTGGAATGTAGAGCCGTCTACCATCGAGCAGAGTGGGTTTACGCGCAAGGCTGGTTTGATCACGCTTGCTCCAGGTCGCAGTACTTGCATCATGTCGTCAACGTCCAGTACGACTGACTTCTTCTTGGCATCTCATGGTATTGTTCGAGCATCTGACAAAGTTCGTGTCTTCTCTCAGTGGCATGGAGGGCCACATAAACCAGTTCGAGTACATCTCCGACCTGATGCAGTTTCGCTAAGGCAATTGGTGTTCTGTGCACATACCCGCTTTCCTGTGATACCTCCGTTCGGTCCTCGTCCTGAGCCCCGCAGCTATGTGGCAGCGAGGCAGATGGCGGATGAGGCGACATACTCGGCGGAGTTCGATCCAGTTTCTAAGGCATGGACGCGACCCAACCAAGCTTGGACAGCTTTCTTGCAGGATGTTGAGTTGGAGATTGATGCAGCTGTAGAATTTCCGATGAAGAAGTTGACGCGGCACCACTACCTCGCTCGCAGATGGGTTCCTGTCTTGGGGCGCAAAGATCATGCTCAAGACCCAGTACTTGTTGCACGCGGCTGGCAGTGGTTATATCGCGTTTGACATGAGATTGGGATACTGGCCAAGAGTGACAAGGAGCTTCACAATGGTCCAGCGGCAACCTCACTCAAACAAACGGCACTTGTTGAGAATTACCCTGGCGAAGGGCTTGATGTTCGGCTGGGCTCACAGGTGTCGGCACGCCGCAGCCTCATTCGAGATTATCCTGCACCTGGCCAACGCAGGAGGCATCTAAGCTACGACGACAGTCCTGGAATGAACGGTGTGGCCAGGCCCTGAAAGGATCGGCTAAGCTCATGCACAAGATCACTCGTTTGCAGAAGGTGTGGTGCCCGACGGTGGTTGAGAAAGCGTCGGGCGTCTTTTCTAGCAGCCCAGAGGCTGTGCTCAACGCGGAGGTCGAGGCGCCCCAGCAGCAGCGGAATGCTTCCTTTACGCCACCGCGCGCGCACGTGCCTGATCGCGATTGCCTTCCTCGTGCCACTGCTGAGGAGATAAGAAGTGCATCGCGGAAATTCTGTCAGTTCACTTCGTCTACGCTTGGCGGCTTTCACCCGGGGCATATATGTTTGCTTGGCGATGCTGGACTGGAAACTCTGAGCGTCTTTTATGAAGGAGTGGAACGTCTCGGTCTCTTTCCTCGGCATTTCCTCTGGATGGTTTTCCCTTTTATTGAGGAGCCAGCAGGGGGGCATCGTGCTATCCTGTTGCTGGCCAGCGTCGCGCGCGCATGGGAACGGCTTCGCCGACCACTGCTGGACAGATTCTTGCCGCCACGGAGAGAGATTACTGGGCTTCCGGTTCTGGGAAGAGTGCTGAATCCTGCGTTTGGGCCCAATCGGCCCTTGGGGAGATAGCTGGCGCTGATGACAAGATTGTCTTGGGGGCCCAGCGGGGCGGCAAGAAATGCTGTGAATCCTTTCGGTCGGATCTCCTTCGGCAGCGAGCATTGCGATGGGGCGTGCCTGGGGCCATAGTCAAAACGATGTTCAATGCGTGGCGTTCTCCGCGGCTGGTAAGGTTAGGGCCCGCCTTTCATCCTGTCGCTCTCTTTGCAGAAAGCGGCCTCCCATGCAGGAGACATTTTCAATGATGCTTTCGTAAAGGTGTACGCCATAGGTGCCTACGACGAATTCACGGCTCGGCCCCCTGCTCCTATTCGACTCTCGAGCTACATCGATGATGACACGATAATGGCTACGGGTGATCGGGCTACGCTGCTCAAACTGGTTCCAGATGCTGCTGAAGACTTTTATCACACGCTTCGAAATCAACTTAAGGCGGACATATCTGAAACCAAAGCTATCACGATTTCGAGCTCCCCAGAGTTAGCTCGGGCCCTAGCTTGTCAATTAAAGCTCCGAGGGCTCCCTGCAGGCACCATCGCGCACTCGTCCGTGAATCTCGGGGTCGATTCTACGCCGGCTCAGATCAGGGCAACTAAAGGGGCTCTTCGGAAACGTCGAGAACGGTTTCGACAGTTTCGCCTTCGTCATTCGCGAGTTCTTCGATTTCGGAAATGGTTCTCCCTCATGGTAAGCACCGTATGGCGATTATTCATCAGGCTGGCCTCAAGCCAGCACTGGCGTATGGCAGTTCTGTTCTCGGTATGTCCGACTACGAGTTGCAGCGAGCTCGAGCTACGCTGCTAAGTTTCGCTCGCCCTCACATCGCGGCGGTTCCTTGCTGGCTAAGATGGTGCTCCACGGCGATCCACTGGCCGACGTACGCGCTGCCCCTGCAGTGTCTTGGTCAGTGGCAGTCTGGCAGGCCTTGGTTGCACCAGAGCGTTCTTTTTTCAGTATTCGCGAGCTTCGCAATATGTACACCACCGTGCACGAGAGAATGGAGTCCCACCATCGTTGGCGATATACACGCGGACCCATTTCTCGAATGCTCCTCTCTCTCAGGCGTGTGGGTTGGAAGGCTCGCAACTTCACTTTGGGAGGATGATCGAGGAGTAGAAATATCGCTCATGTACACGGCCCCGCACATGATCAAACGTATGCTTAAATATGCAGATCAACGTAAGCATGAGTGTGACATGGCTTATAGCTTAGACAATTTTGAGCATGCACGCGTGTGTACTGGTAGTGTGCGCAATGTTGTGTGTAAGTCTAAGAAGCATACGCCGCGTCAGAAGCATGCTGTATCTAGTTGTTTTTTTGCAAGGCGGTTTTCACATCGGATCGTCTTCAGATTGATAGTGGGCTCTGTCCGTTATGTGGAGGCCCCGATCGTTTTTTTTTTTTTTTGTTTTTTTTTTTTTTGTTTTTTTTCTTCCCCACAGGCCCTGGACGTGCCCCTGCCCCCAGGTCGAGGAAGCGAGGTCCCAGGCTTGTGACCCTGATCTCGTCCAGGAAGCTGTGCAGGCAGGCCCGTTCCACCCCTTCTGGACCCGCCTCGCTTTCCCCCACCCCTCTCTCACCTTCCAACCCCCCACAGATATGATCTATCCAGAGTTTGTAGATCCGCAGGGGAATGTTTTGCAGGATTCTGCGGTTCTGGAAGGCGCGAGTGACGTCGTCGTCGACGGGTCGTGCACGAGGCCTCCGATTGCACCGTCGAGGCTTAACTGTTCACTGCGGCCCTCGGACACCTGCCCTTGGGTGCCGTGCGCGTTCCTGCGAGGCTCACGTCCTCCTTCTCGTCTGAGTCGACGCCGTACGTCCCAGCGAAGATCGGGCGCAGCTGGTCGGGCGGGGTGCCCTCCTTGCCCTGGGTCTCAGTCCTCACGTTGCCGATGGCATCGCTGGCTACGATGCCCGAAGAGATGGACTTGCCCGTCAGAAACGCCACGAAGATCATCCTGTGTCCGCGCAGTCGCACCCCAGCGTCGAGTCCTTCTGGATGCTGTAGTCGGACAGGGTGCCGCCTTGCAACCGCTTTCCAGCGTAACTCGGGCGCTGCTGGTCGGGCGGGATGTCCTTATTGTCCTGGCTCTTAGCCATCACGTTGACGATGGCATCGCTGCCGGCTACGACGTCCAACGTGATGGACTTGCCCGTCAGAGCCTTTACGAAGATGAGTATGCCTCCGCACAAGCGCACCACCAAGTGCAGCGCCGACTCCTTCTGGATGTTGTTGGACAGGGTGCCGCCTTCCAACTGCTTTCCAGCGAAGCTCAGGCGCTGCTGGTCGGGCAGGATGCCCTCCTTGGCCAGGGAACGTGTGAGGGGCGCGCCGACATGCAAGGCCGGGTGGCGCATGCAGACCCTGCCACAAGAACCTTTGGTGGAGCTCCCCGTGGGCCATGACACGTGTGAGGGGTGTGCTGCAGTGGTCGGCGGACGCGTGCGAACCCTGCAACGAGAGCCTTCGGTGGAGCCCCTGGTAGGGCCTGGATCTTAGCCTCGTGCTCGTCCATGCCTTCGTCCGGGCCGCCGCACTCGTTCTCGATCACGCTCAGGCCGCGCTTGCAGTCGTACAGGGCCATCGAGTCCTCCAGCCTGCACGTTAGGTCCTCCAGCAAACTGAAGCCTTCGGTCACCTGCCGTTTGGTGCCGTCCGCGTCCTCGGAGGGGCCCTGGTCCGCGTCCTCGTGCACGTCCACCTGCCGCATGGTGCCGTCTGCGCCGCCCCTCGCCGCCGCGCCTCCACCGCCACGCTGCGGGCGCTCCCGCGCGGCCGGGACGCCGCACGCCTCGTGTCGTGCGCAGGCGCCGCCGCCAACCCCGACCCCCCCGCCGACGCGCGTCCCCCCGGGCGGCGCCACTGAGCCAGGATGGGGTACGGGGCTCGCACCCCCTTTAGAGCCCAGCGGGCTCTGAGGAGGGCTTGAGCCAAAACGGCTGCGGGCGTGCGTGTGGTTGTGCGTGTGCGTCTGCGTGTGTGTGTGTGTGCGTGTGTGTGTGTGTGTGTGTGCGCGTGTGTGTGTGTGTGTGTGTGTGTGTGTGTGCGTGCGTATGTGTGTGTGTGTGCGTGTGTGTGTGTGCGTCTGTGTGTGTGCGTGCGTGTGCGTGCGTGCGTGTGTGTGTGTGTGTGCGTGTGTGTGTGTGTGTGTGTGTGTGTGCGTGTGGGTGTGCGTGTGTGTGTGTGTATGTGTGTGTGTGTGTGTGTCTGCGTTTGTTCGTGCGTGTGTGCGTGTCTGTGTATGTGTGTGCGTGTGCGGTGCGTGCGTGCGTATGCGTGTGTGCGCTTGCGTGTGAGAGAGCGAGAGAGATCATGTGTGCGTGCGTCTTCCGCCGCCTGGCCCCGCTGCCGCTCGCCCCCCCGTCCGCCCCGCTCCCGCCGGCCCGGCTGCCGCTGCTGCCGCTGCCCTGCTGTGGGGCCGGCCGCGTCGCCCTGACTTCCGGCGCGTGCGCGCTGGCGGCTTTTCTATGGACGCCACGGAGTTTCCCGAGCATTCTCTTGGAGGGCAAAGGGTGAATTTCTGCTGAAATGCCGCTTCGACCGGTTCTCGAAGCCTGAATCTGCAAAAGGTGAGTCACAAGACGGGTTGATTTCCGAGGTGCAAGCGCCCATACGGATTTCACCCTGAGCCGTCCACCCAAGGAAAATGCTCAGGTTTCTCTTGGCCGCCAACGCCCGAACGTTGTGCGTTTGTGGGGGGATTTGAATGTGAGTATGAGTGTGGAAGTGGATCGGAAGTGGATGTGTTTGTGTGTGTGAGTGTTCATGTGCACCCTGCCGGTTTCTCTTCTTGTCCACTCGCCGTGTTTCTTCTCTTGTCGCATCTGCTTGTCTCCTGCCACCCGTGCTGCACGACCCGCGCGGAGGGCCAGTGGACCGCCGCTGGCCCCCGCGGCCGCGACTGCCGAGCGCAACAAGGGTCGCGTGCGTGCGCTGAGTGGTGGCCCTGGCCCCGATGGGGGGTGACTGGGCTGTGGGTCCGGACGAGTTCGGGCGAGGCGATTTCATGCGCACGAGCTCGTCCTAACAATTTCTTCCTGAAGAGCTCATCCGAGGACGAGTTCATCCGATCACGAGTTCATCCAGAGACGAGGTCATCCGGACGAGTTCGTCCGGACGAGTTCGTCCGGACGAGTTCGTCCCAGAGGACCATCATCCTGGATGAGCTCGTCTGGGAAGAAGTCTCTCAGGATGAATTGGTCGATTGCCGCAGCTCGAGGGTCGGGGCGGAGTGGCCCCCGCCGCCACGCGGCCGCAGGTGATGCTCACGGGCGAGATACAAGCGGGGGAGCGCTACGCCTTCAGCGTGCGCCGCCCGCATGCCCAGGGGGGAGGCCTCTGTGTGTGCGTGTGCGCCCGCGCGAAGTTTTCTGGCTGCAGCGCGTGACTAACGACAGGCTCGCCTCTGCACAGCCCTGAGGCCACCTGTCGTGCCGCTATCTCCTCCATACCCCGCATTCCCCAGGACATGCGGCCGCTCTTTCGTGCCACTTGCGCACGTCTACACATTGTTCATCTTTAATTATTCGAGAGTTCTTTGATTTTTTTGGGGGCCAAGATCCTGGCATTTCTAATTGTTCTATCCTGGGCCTCTTCCTGGCACTAGGGGGCCAGGAACAATTCGAAACGAGCACAATTAGAAATGAGCACAATTTGAAATGAACGACGTGTACGTGTACTCGGACCCGATGTTTTTGTGAGTCCTGCCAATCGTGCGAACCACGTGGGTTTCTGAAGATTTTGCGCTACGCGCCCGAGGGCCCCGAGAGGCGGCCCCAGACGCGTCCAGGGGCCTCCTGGGGGCTACCTGGATAGCATCTTGGAGCCCTCTGGGGGCCTTTTGGGGACCTCTTGGGCAGTCTTGGGTTGAGGCCTTTTTGGGCCGTCTCGGAAGCATCTGGGGCGATCTTGGGCTTTTTTGGGGTCATCTTGGTCGTCTTGGTGGCGTCTTGGAGCCTCCATGAGAGCCATCTTTCAAGGAAAAGCCTATTGGATGCTCGTTTTCCGCGGGGCTGGCAGATCGAGCTGGAGAGTTTTGGGAACCGTATGGGAGGTGTCTTGTGTCCATGTTGGAGGCATTTGAGGCTGTCCCAGGACATCGGAAGTCGGAAGTCCGAAGGGGTGAGAACGCGAAAGCCATTCAACCATTCACATGCCATGGGGAAGCCAAGGAGTGTGGGCTCTTCTGGAGTCCCTCTTGGAGCCTCTTTTGACGCATTGGAGCCTCTCTTGACGCTATATGGGGCCGTCCTGGAGCCGTCTTGGAGCCATTTTGAGGCCGTCGTGCGACAACTCGGAGGCCTCTTTGCCCTCCTTGGAAGCTTACTTCTTTCGGTGGCAGGCGAGGGGCAGAAGTGAACAGGAAAAGGCCTTCTCAGAAGGCGGCTGTACTTCTCAGAAGTTATCGCGCCTTCTGAGAGGTTTTTTGTCTTCGGGGAAGGCTTCGGCAACTTCTCAGAAGGCCGGGGGACTTCCGAACCTTATGAGAAGGCCTTCTACTTCTCACGTCCCCCCCTCGCTCGCCGCCGAATATTGGGCCATCTTGCAAACCAGTATGGGCCGCCTTTGGCAATGTGGAGAGCCACTTTGGGACATCTTGGGCCATTCTGGCAGTATTGAAGATGGGTCTTCCAACGATGAAGGTCCGCAGCGGGTTGGATCGAAGGCCATCCAGAAACAAATTAGGCACGCTGGGCACCTGTCTGGCAGGTTACGGGGGCGGCGGATCGAAGGCGCTTGTAGTGAGAGTCCCCGCCGCCCTTCGCAATTCTGGAATCGGGCCAACACTTGGCCATGTTATTGTGACCCCCCACACCGTTGTGGAACTCTTGGGGGAAAACTTGAGGCAGGAGCGGATGATGAGGAAGTGAAGGAGGAGGAGGAGGAGGAGGAGGAGGAGCAGGGGGACCAGTGTCAACCCAGGACTCATCAACGATACGGCAATCCATCCTTCCTCCAGGTTCCCTCTCCATGGACTCCTAATTTCTCGGATTCGTTTTGTCTTAGGGACATGCCCCGTTGCAAGACAACCGTTTGAAAACCCAGAACGCTCCAGAATGCCATTCCTGAAATTTCAACGTCCGGAATAGCCGTTTCTGTTTCGCCTGGGCGATCCTGAATCGTGCCAGAATGCGATTCCTGGGACTTCGGCACCGCGAATCAACGTGACTTTGCGCCTTGACATTCCAACATCGTGCCCACACACCGTTTCTGGGACGTTACCATGTGAACCTTGAAACTGCTGCAACTCTGAAGAGCAACAGTTTGAAAAGGAGCCGACCTCCATCCGTTAAATTCTTGCATCGGGCGAATGTGCGGGGTGCGAAGGCGAGAGCCACAGTTTGAAAACGGGCCGCCCTCCATCCGTGAAACTCTTGGACATTTGTAATACAAATGTGCGCGGCCCTTAGGCGAGCGCCACATTTTGAACACGGGAGTGTTCTGTAAGGAAAAGTAAGGGAGGAGGTGGAAGAGCTGGAAGAAGGAGGAGGAGGAGAAAGAGGAAACGGTGGCACGACCTAGGACTATGACACCGTGCGCGACGGTCGGCAGAGGAGCTCGGGCCGCCCCCGCTGGAGACGGCGCTGCTGGACTGCTCACGTGAGGAAGCAGACATACACTCCTCCTCCTCCTCCTCCTCCCCCTCCTCCTCCTCCCCCTCCTCCTCCTCCTCCTCTTCCTCCCCCTCCTCCTCCTCCTCCGTCTCCTCCTCCTCCTCCTCCTTCTCCTCTCCTCCTCCTCCTCCTCCTCCTCCTCCTTCCTCCCTCCTCCCTCCTCCTCCTCCTCTCCTCTCTCCTCCTCCTCCTCCCTCTCCTCCTCCTCTCTCCTCCTCTCCTCCTCCTCCCTCCTCCTCTTCCTCTCCTCCTCCCCCTCCTCCTCCCTCCTCCTCCTCCTCCTCCTCCTCCTCCTCCTCCTTCTCCTCTCTCCTCCTTGCTGGATTGCTCATGGCGTGTGGACCCGACGGCCGCCACCCGGCGGCCAGCGACCAGACGGCGGTCAGGGCCACGGCGCGCCGGGCACCCACCGGGCCCCCCAGCCGCGCGCGGCAGCGCCCGGTGGCGCTGCAGCGCGCAGACGTGCCGCGAGGCTGCGCGCGCCCTGCCCGGCGCGCTCCCGTGGCCGACGGGCCCCGGTGGCGCCCCGCTGACCGACGCCCATCGGTGCCGACCCAACCACCCTCCCTGCCCACCCAGCACGCTACGCCTGGTAGCACCAGCCACAACATCAGCGAGCCCCTGAGCAGCCCCTGAGCGCCTCCAACGCCCCCCCCCCGAGCATCCCGCGCGGGTCCCAGACCCGCGCGCAGCCGCGGCTGCGACGGGGAGGCCCGGCTGCCCGTCCAGAGCTTCAGCCAGCTCACCGCGTCGGCAAGGGATCCGCCTGCCGACCCGCTGCTGGGAGCGGAGGTTCACCCACAAGGTGAGCACATGCGCCGTCCCGCAGCGGGAATACCATGCCGGGTCCTGACGGCATCCCGTTTCAGGCTCAGAGTCGATTGGGCCCGTTGGGTCTGGACATTTTCGCCAGAGCCGCGTGGCCGTTCGAGCGCGAGGACGCAAGAAGACCTCCTGATTGACGGCTACCGCGACGAGCCCGGGGAACGCGACCACTTTCAATTTGAGCAGACTGGTCCGCTTGCCCAAAAAGCAGCGGGCGCCGCGGGCGACGACCTTCCCCTTTTCCTTCCAGGGGGGATGCGACCTCATTCAATCGTGAGCTGCGCCAACCGCCTCATCGCGAACGCGGTGCCGCACATGTGGGAACGCCGCATCGCGGACTGGGTCCTATCATTACCAACCTCACCGTACTTGAGACGAGCATGATAGTCAAGGCGCTCACTCCCGACTACGGGGCCTGCGCCCTCCTGCATTTCAAGGCGGCCGTCCCGTCGATGGTTCAGGAGTTTCTGTTCCAGACCTTGGAGAGCATCGGTTTGCCCCCCCCAAGCGCGTTGAACACGGCCCACCATCTGTGCAACAACGCCTCATACCTGATAGCTGTCGGCGGGGGCGTACGACGGCTTCAACATGGCAGTTGGGGTTCGGCAAGGGTGCCCGCTTTCATGATTACTGTGCGCAGTCGTCGCAGGAGTGCTGCTCGGAAAGATATGCGAGTCTTGCTCGCAGTGCGGTGCTTCGCTTGCGCAGGCGACACCGCCTGTGATCGACAAAATGACGGTGCAGGGGGCCCGGTTGGCCCGCTTGTTCGAGGAGTTCTCCCGCATCTCCAGCCCGGATCTCAACCTTGATAAAGAATCGTCATCCAATTTTGTGGCGGACGCACGATGGAATACCAACAGCAACTTGCATATAACACCCCCACGTGAGGCCAGATGCAGGTCCGGCTGCAGGGCAAATACCTCGGCTTTCTGATCGGGCCCGCGAAGGGGGAGGAGGGTTGGAGAGATCCGCTTGGGAAATACGTCTCACGCTGTCGTCTGTGGTGCGATATTGGCGCGGGGTTGCAGTAAGGCGCCTTCGTCTACAACAGTTCCGTAGCCTCGGTGCTGACCTTCGCCATTCAGCTCGGGAGCCTCTTGGACGAGGCGCTGACGAGGCACTCGCAGGTGTTGCAGCAGACGGCCAAAGGACCCGGAACTTGGTTCCTCAACGCGGACCTTTTCATTCTCAAGGAACGTTTTGGCATGGCGAAGAATGTCCACCCTTTGGCCTGGCTGGCCCATTCGGCAAGGTGCAGGGCAGGTTGCTTCAACCGGGCTTCCAGTCATTGGCGTATGTGGTAGCTGTCCAGCAGGCTCGCCAGTGCTCGTGGCCTGGGGTTGCGTCTTCATGTCCTCGTGGAGTAACACGAGTGGTCCAAAGGCGCATTCGTGCTGAACCTTCAGCAGGCTCAGCGCTACGTGCAACACGTCTTGGAAGGGATGCGTAACGTACAGAATTCCATGGCCGATGGCGCATCCCCGCAGGACTTCCAGCAAGTCGTCTACCAGGGTATCCTGGACCAGGAGGCCCCCCCACGCTGCGATGCGGGTGCGGCACGAGCTCGATCTCCGCCATTTGTGGGGCGTCCCCCTCTTCCCGCAACTGACGGGCACTAACGTCTTGCAGAGCACGCCGCGCTATGGGGCTCGCGGGGCCCTCTGGCAACTTCATGATTCGAGGGCGGTTGTTGCGCCGCGCGTGCAGTCGGCGAAGTTCAACACAATGTGGAACAAATGGGCCATTCTCCGCTGGCCTCAACGGCGGTGCGACCCTACCAATCGCTGCCTGCTCGGATGCCCGCTCGGCGCCGAGGGCTCATTTGAGCACTACCGCCGATGCCCATTGGCGGCCCGGCTGCTGCAAC